TATACATACTTAAATTATTTTGTATAACACTATTCTCGTTGACGTACAAAATTTTGCTTTATTTTGAACAAAGCTCATGCGTTTAACACGATAAATGGTTACGGTGCAAATTTGCCAAGCGCAAAGATCGTCCCATTGTTTATGAAGTGCCCAAATTGCCGCGTTAACGTAGTATGTTCGCGTAAAAAGAATATTTAAACCGCAAGCGTAGCACTTTGGATAACGGACGGCGACACGCGCGCTGCGATTGAGCATCTTCCATATAAAAGACATCAACGAACACTTGGTTTCGAGTTAGGGTAAGCGCGTAGTTTCGAATCCTGCTAACTTTTACACAACTGTCGTGGCAGTAAGATGTTTTTTAAAGGGTGGCAAACAATCATATGACCTCCTGATGGTATAAAGGCCACCATAGCCTATAGACGCTTGCAATACAAAAAAAACGACAGGCTGTACTCCGGGAGTGCCGGCAGAAGTGAAAACTTGAATATTAACGTTGTACATTTTTTTTTGATATTTTAGAATGGTTAGGGAATAATTTTGCACGAATTGCTTTAATTATCAGTATAAAAGTTCTATCATTTATGTGGTAGAATACAATATTTATTTATTGCGCTATCGTACACAAACATAACAATTTATATTACATTAAAAAGTTTAATCTCTCAGAAAAATCGACTTACATGAATCACATTTAAGCGTACCTAGTGACATCTATTGTAGAATAATGCAATGCATGCCACTTGGACGGCCTAGAGACTTATTATTATAATACGATAACATAAAATACTAGTATGTTTGGTCCAATATATTGAGTCTCATCCTTTCCAATTTTATTGTTTTCGTCTTACGAATTTTCGATCAGGCCACGTGTCATGACGCGATCAGGCTACGTGTCCTGACGCGAGTTTAACAGTTTTTATCCATTACAAAAAAGTGTACAACGCCGTTAAAGAAGTTTTCACTTCAAAAATTGGGTGTGCTTTTGATCACACGACTGAATTGAAACTTCTGAAACTGAAACTGATAGAGAGAAAGAAAATGTGCTCGCGCACTGCTTTCTCTTGCTTATATTCCCCACTCAACTCCCGTTCGCCTCGCCCGCTTTTCGTAATGTAACGCGTAACGCATTGGCCAGCTTGCCCCTCAAGTCAAGCGTGCGTAAAGAAGTTTCACTTCAAAAATATCACTCGCGCCGTCGCCTACCATGACCCAATCCCCTACCATTAGGAGCCCTGGAACCTTACTCACCGACAGAAACAACACCACCTAAAGGCAGTGTTATTTTACTGTGGGTTTCTGTGAGGTGAAGGTTACTTCCTCAGACGGGCGCTCCATTTCGAGCGGAGAAAAAGCTATCTTTATATATATAATTCTTCTGTGAGTGTGTATGTCACTGAACTTCTCTTAAACGACTGGACCGATTTTGATGAAATTTTTTGTGTGTGTTCAAGGGGATCTGAGAATGGTTTAGATTCACAATTTTGTCCGCTGGACAATGTTTTTTTAGTTAAATTTTTTTATGGCGGTACGAAGTTCGCTGGGTCAGCTCGTATATATATATATAAACTCTTTTGCATATGGCTTTGTGGTTTATGGTTTAAGGCTTTTATTTCTCAAAACAGAACACAAAATTCACTTACATGAGAAAACAAAAGAATAATCCAGTACGTGTGTTATACGAGATATAGAGAGATATTATAGAGAATAAACAAACAATTTAGTTGGACATACTCACACTTATATCAGAAATCACTATTGATTTTTTTTTACTAAAACTGTTAATAATTTACAAATTGATGACTTAGTTCAAACAATGTATACAAATATTTGTTACGCAAACATCTGTAAAATGTGGGTAGTCCGTTTTCTTTAAAAAAAATCAAGTCCATATTACGTATCGATCGCTTTCATGTACTTATATTTGTGGGTTTCTTTATTCGTTATTACTAAATAGAGTTTGGGGTAGTATAGACTGTTTAAACAACTTTGGGACAAGTTCTCTACAAAAAAAGGACGGATTTTTTAAAATTTCGCTTAATTAGTATGTTTGTAAGTTTCTTTAGTCCTCGATTCGCAACGACTGAAAGGATCAAGTATAAGTACTTTTAATTAATTAAAATAGTAATTAATGACTCCAGTTGTATAAAAAAACTATTAAGGCTGCCGTCAGACGGGATTTAGGTCGCACTCGATATTATTTTATGTTTTAATGCAAAACTGTGGCAATCAAACGTATTATACCTTGTCTGGTGGAATCGGTTACCGCGTATGATGTTTGTGATACCAGAATATTACTCGCGAGTTACGTACCCTGAACCAACCTGTAACAATGTGGAGCCCTGGAAACTTAACCCAACACCACCTAAGCGTGGTAAGCAGGGTTGGATTTAGTACTATAATAATAGTATTTACACTATGATTTCGCTATTTGTAATGTATACTATCCACATCTCAGGATAGTACGCTTAAATACAATAATTTAAAGTTTGCTCCCGAATGCTTAGTTTTACGCCATATTATGAATATTTCGACTGTGCTTGTATCCAACCGAATTCTGATCATGCGATGTTTTCTGTGTTGATGGCCGGGGCTTCCTGATTATCCTCCGCAGTACACTTTTCTCTTTTCATTAATCCCGTTCCTTCCATTCCATTCGAAACTCAATCAAAGTTTGTTCAATGTTTTAACAATCACTTGCGAGTTTTTGTGTAAAACAATACGTTTTCAGTGTTTTAATTATGGAAAGTGGCATCAAAAGCGGTAGCAAAAGTGGAAATTGTACTAATTTTTTTCGTACTGAGGATATATTGACGAGATTAAATGCCAAGGATGCAGATAGAAAATATTGCCTTAGCGGGTGTTGATTTTATTGACTGTTATATGTTAAATTAAAAATAATGAAAGTGGACTATATTTTTTTTATAAATACTATCCTTTTCATTTTTTGTGCTATCTTTTTCAACAAACCTAAATCCAACCCTGGTGGTAAGTAAAGTAGTGCTATTTTATTGTCTTCTATAAGATGTAGGTCGCTTCAGCAGAAGAATCTCCAATTCTACTTTGTACTGCCTCTTACCAAATTTCATGTAAATGGTACTTTGTAGAATCAGGGACCTAGCTGAATCTCGGCAAATCAAACTTTCTGAAACATAACAAAACTTTTGTTATGTTTCAAAACAATAGTAGGTAAACGATGGATGGATATGATAACCGATCTTTAGTGATCAATACTTTTATTATCATTCATCATAGAAAAATATGACGATAATTTGTTCTTGTCGGTTATTGGTGCCACTATCTTATTTACTGTTATTTAGGCGTTTTCATAAGATTCATGATCCCCGAGCTTTGACAACGATCACAAACGATCGATTACAATACCAAATTGCAAGCTGCTGCGAGTCCCTGGACGCCAATAACGGTTTCCATGGATCACGAATCGATTATAACTGAGCTAACGATTCAGTATCGATTAATTGCCCTCCACTCACGAAACTGTAATAGTTCTGTGTCGAACGTAACTGGCATTCGGTAACGCTACCCAACACTTACGTCACAGTGATTTTCGTTGCCATAAAATAATGATTTATTTATAACATTCCAAAGATACACGCCATTCTTTTGTACACTCCTTTTTTAAGTTGGTAGAGCATCTATGGCGACTCGCGCGTAACAAGTGACTTTTGAAGCGAAACTTCTTTATGCACGCTTGACTTGGGGATTATGCTAGCGAACGCGTTACGAAAAGTGAGAACGGGCGAGGCGAACGGGAGCTGAGTGGAGGATATAACCAAGAGAGAGCAGTGCGCGCGCACATTTTCTTTCTCTCTTTCTCTTATAGCTAGTAAATGAAATATATATATATATATATATACGGGGTGCCCTGGAACCTTACTCACCGATAGATACACAACACCAAAAGGTAGTGTTATTTTATTGTGATCTTCTGTAAGTAAGTAGGTGCGGCGTTTTTTCAAGCCTGATCAACTGTGCTTGTTGTACAAAACACAAGTGCGGTCCTGCGTGGAATATTGCTCGCACCTCTGGGATGGCTCCGCTAAGTACTTGCTCGATGCTTTGGATAGGTTACAGCGGTGCGCGATCCGCATTATAAGCGATGAGGAGGTGACTAAACACTTCGAGCCTCTTCAATTACGCCGTGACGTGGCGTCACTAAGCGCTTTCTATCGTCTGTACCACGGCGAGTGTTCTGAGGAGTTATTCTCTCTTATTCCACCTTTCATTCAGAGGACCACGCGCGCTGGCCTACGTTATCACCGTCTAAGCGTGGCGACAATTCCAACGCGTATAAAGAAATTTGGTGACTCATTACTTTGTAACAATAAAAATATGAGGCTTTATTAATAAATACAAAGAGGCGCTGTATGCATGTTACAAAGGCCTAATATGATTTTTTAATAATTAATTCTAAATTATAACGTCGCAAGCAAATTAATTCCATAGTGAAATGTTTAATTATCATAAAAGTTATAAAAAGTAATTTTAAACTTGAAAATGAGTGTTATTTTTCGACACATGAATTATTGTCTCTTGTCTTGCGCCTGGACTTAATTATGTGTATTTTCGTGTTTTTTCTCTATCCACTGAGTTGCAATTGTCATTTTTGGGGTTTGGACAAAACACTGCCAGTCTTACTACAAAAAAAGTAAGACACTATTTCAAACCTTGTTGGCAAATTTGTTTTTTTTTCTAAAACTCGTTTTCAACTCATGTGTAACTTTTTTGTGGTAATACGGTGAAAGTTTATTTCAAGTTTTTGCTTCGTTTTTAAACAGTGATTGTTTTCATATTGTTTTAGTTTGTTATACTCTTTATTGCATCATATAGTTTAAAACATATAGTCAAATACATAGTAAGCAAAGGTGGGCTTATCTCTAAAAGAGATCTATTGTTCTTGTTGTTGTTATGAAGTAGTTTGAATTTCTCAGTTGGTTTTTTTTATTTTACACTAAGCTCACTGAAATATATTGTTGCAGATTTATCGTCACGTGCAGTTTCTTACTTTTAACCAAAGTAAGTATTATTGTTGGATATTTTCTATTAGTACCTATATCGTATGCTATAAATTTAATAAACTACAAATTTCTTATCAATGATAGTTAAACATTTATCATATCGAGCTCCTCCGTAGTTAGGATGTTTAGCCGTTGGTCCCAACCGTGGACTGCTGGGCTTTCTGGAGGAGCTAGGATGGCAGGACTGATGCCATTTCTCACGCAAAATAGACACATGCTGTCGAGTCGCTGAAACAGCCCGCCGTACTTCTAAGACTAGCCATTTGGTCCCCGCTGAATTAGCGTCATTAGCTTAGCACCCACCAAACCGCACTGGATCTGCGTGGTGGTTCAGGTTCTTTCCAATCTCCTTTTTCTATTCATAGGGAAGGCCTGTGCCCTAGCAGTGGAAACAAAAGGCTAATATCGAAAAAAATACGTATTATTTTATATTTTGAAATAAGATCCAAAATATTCATTCAGCACAGACACGTACACAGACAGATGGTTTGGTTACACTTATATTTACACAGATGGAGAATGAGTTACTTATAGATAACAAACATGCAACTTATGTTGTATGTTTGTTGGCCACAGCTGGGCCGAAAAGGTTCAGTTCAGTATTGTGTCAGTTTTTTGATATGCGAAAGCTAAATATTAACGAGATTAGACTTGCTGACGTTTCGGCCAAAAAATGTTCGGACACAGTGTCCGAATTGTTAATTTTTTTATTTCAATATTTTTTGGTTACAATTCGGACACCATCAAATTATTGAAGCTTTTAAGTATAGTTAGATAGAAAAGAATTAAAGAGATTAACGTTTATTGTACTTTGCGAACAGCTAGCAGCATCAGTAGAGAAGCGACCAGTGTTGCTGACGTCAGCGGAATCATCGGAGACGTCCACGGAGGTGACGGTGGTGTCAGTAGCCAGTTCGTCCTCATCGGAAATACACGAGGGTTCAGGGGATGATCCACCCGATCCTTCGATATCCAGTGGTCATATCAAGGTACTTGTCTGCTTCATTGTTGTATTAAATTCCCTTGGAATTAACATTAAATAAAATACTTTTATACGTTTATGCTATATAATTAATAAATGAGGAGCTGGCGAACAAAACGGCATAATTACTCATCTGGTCAAACTACTTTTTTATAGTCCGGAGGTTTGAATTTGAATCTCAAATAATTTTTAATCAAAACTGCCTAAAACAGTGTTAAAATTACTTAATTGATAAATTAAAAACTATGCCAAAAGCTCACGGGAGGTTTATGTCATTCAATTTTATACACCTTCTGTAAAATTTAATTTTATGTAATTATACCGTTTTGTTCGCCAGCTCCTCAAATGAGACTACTTGACGTTTCGTACCCAGGTTTTGTTATCACAAGACATTACAACTACACTCGACTGCAAATAAACTTGTTATACCTTGGAACTCTGAAGAGCAAAAAACACAACGCTAAGGATTTGACAACTTTTGAATAATGTAGAAATTGACGTCCTTTTTTATAAAATGAAGATAGTCTGATATTCTTTTCTTTAGTTTTTTTCATTGTTTTCGATGTGTGATTTTTGATACGCTTTTACTGTCGATTAACACAATTGGAAAACGACTTTTCTTTAGAAAACTCACTTTCTGCAGATAAAAAGTTGATAGTTGTGAATTTTATACTTTTTGAGAAAATCAATCCAGAGTCCAGATGTAGCAAGTGACCCGATTTATTTGCTGTCCAGTGTATATAAAAAAATACGATAATATCAAACAACATAATATCTTCAAAACTACACTCAGAAGTAGTTATAACTAAAATTTAGCTGAGGCCCACTTGTTCTTCATCAAATATAAAATCTAATAATGTAAAAGCCTCATATATATATCTTTAGATCATATCCTCACATCTTTTAGATTTGACAAAATCGGGATGAAGTATTAAAGAGGTTAACGAAAGTTGGTGTTTTTTAAGTTAAACAGAAACTAAAACATTTAATTTATTTTTAGAACGAGACAAGGGAAGCGTTAAAAACCGATGGAACCGAACAAGATCCGGTAAGTTTTTTTTAATTAATTTTGCATTTGATAGTACCATAAGCTCATTAAGTACACGAGTACTGTACATTTTCCCAAGAAAGAACTTTGTCTTTTTATCAATCTATAATTCCAAACATTAGAACAAGCAAGTTTATGTTAATATTTTTTAGAAGTAAGTAAATATTAAACGATGCGGCCGACATTCTGTTCACTATAAGTTTCACTTTCATACAGACTCGCAAGCTATGACCTTGAATAGAGAGGCACAGTTTAAAAGCTGTTAGTCTATATTCCGTCGTCAGAGGTTTAATATTTAAATAACTTAATTGTATAATTAAGAGTTTTATTACTTTTAATGTTTTTGAACATGGGAAAGTTCAAATGTAAGTAATTAGTCGTTGTCCTACTTAGGATGGGATATTTAACCTTGGCAAAATGTTTCTACCGATGATGGTAAGAAATTGTTAAATTAGCTAGGAGACATAAATTAAATAGGTTAACATATGCAAATGACCAGATTTTATTGCACTTTTTTGTAAAAATATTGTTACTTATATAATATTTATGTTGAATCTGGTAAAGTTACGTAATTTATATTTTTTAAGAAAATTATGAGGTTTCGTGACATCGTTCTTCTACCATTTTTTATATTTGACCCGGAATTCCCAAAATAGCGTTCGTGGTTTTAATTTAAAATTAGCTTTAATGCCTGTATCATAGCTATAAGACACAACATAACCGTATATTAATTTGACCCGGAATACTGTGCTCCACTGAGTTTGTGGTTTGCGAAGAATAAGTTATTGAAATAGTTTCGCCCCCCATCGACTATCACTTGTTTTGTATTAAAACCGTCGGTACAGAAAATGCCTTCCGCCCAATGCAATGGAGTGATTCGAGGGCGCCGATAAAAGGCGCGTCTAAAACTCTTGTCTGGGTGAAAGGTTCAGTAATAGCTGCCAATTTACACCCATTTGCTCAGCCATTGACTAAGTGATCGATTCGTCGACCGGTGGAGGTGGTGACTAACGCTTTTAACTACAACACGATTAGATTTGCTGCTACTTTTATTTTCGCTTCGGTCCTTTGTTCGTACAGTGTTCGTTTTGCGGTCGATAAGCGGGTGGTAGGATGTTTGGTTGCGCTCTTTAAGTGAATATTATGTGGGTCGAGTAATTTGGGTACCGGCAGTCCAGCCTGGTCTGGTCTCGCTTTACACTCATTGATATTGTACTGCGTTTAATCATCATCATTTTGTTGCAGACGAACCGTTTTGGTTACGCACGCTTTTTACTCAGAGTTTTCAAGTCAGTTTGTTTGTTAAGGTGTAGGTTGATGGTTATAAGAGCTTAATGTTTTTCATCATCGTGGATACTCAACCTTTGAGCTTACCTACTAGTGATTTAGATAAATATTTGTTCTATTAAATATTTTTCGTGGCTTTTTCATACATTTTTATTTATATATATTGTACCCACCACTAAAGAATTTCTTATAATAGTATAGCTTAATTCATGGTGAAGTTATATTAAAATAAACTGTCTCACTCACTATGATTTAAAATTCTATCTAACCTCCTCTTAAATACACTTTTAAACCTAGTTATTTTTGATTCTCTTTAGATATGGATATTAATAAAAACCAAAGAAATTATCCAACGTTGATTTACCTATATAGAATTGAAGAATGTCTGTAATTTCGGTATATTTTTTCTTAAAGCTTTATTTCTTACCATGTCCATTGTTTTTCTAATTAATTATCATATTTATCTTATAATCATACAATCTTTAGTGATGGTGCTGCAACAATGACGACACACATTATATTATACCTTACAATTGAAACATCAACCTTAAACAAAGTTATGAGTTTTTTTCACGCGTGAGCACCCTCGTTCTTGGTCTCTATCAAGTACACACACCTACCAATCGTTACGCTTTTCAATTTTGATACTTATTCTTAGTGAAAATAAGGAGTTTAATTCAGGTGAATATGTTGATCTGTTTACTAACCTAGTGGTGAGTACTACCACGTGGTAGTTGCCCAACCTTCTCAATGCAGTGGTCGTCGGCTGAATGGAAGATGCTTTTGCAATGCCTCCAATAAGTATACGGGTTGCGTTACGGCTTTTACGAGCCGAAACAGAATTGTGATATTGTTTATAACTAGTACTTACAGTGTAAATAGGATTTCTAGTTATGGTTTTGTTTTAATTATAGGATGACGAAAGTATTTTCTTATAAAGGCTGTTAATTTTCAGACTGAAAAATGTTAAACTACACGACACAAAAACTAACTGTAAAGTCAAAATTAAGTTTAAAAAAGTCGATGTATAAGTCTTTGGTTGAACAGTTGAAGGACCTTTTAGATTTAAAAGTTATTCCACAGACCGTTCTTTGAATTCATTGAGTATAGGCCTCATTTTTTGGTAATTTGCTGTATATTGAAAAAGCATTGATATTCTGTTATGGCCATATGCTTTGGTGGTCGCTTATTATCCGTTTCTTCTCTTATTTGTCATTTCAGATTCTTTTTTACCGTTTTTCCTATTGACTGTTATGAATGCACCTACCTTCATTATAAACATCACAGTTACAAGCACATACATTTGATCAGAAATTAAGATAGTTTCAACAATGAACTCGCGACAAGTATCACTTTGTTCCTTATATGTACAATCGGGTTCATCGAGGTATACAATTTGTCATTAAAAGAGCCTTTTATGAGTTGCAATAAGAGCGGTATTCGTTGTAGAATTGCTGTTATTTGCTGGCTGTACTATGGCAGCTTTAAAGAATACAGTAAAATTAAGTTCGTGAGAAAGGTGAAAGATGCATTGAGGTTTGCACTCACTTATAATAAATGTCGTAGCATATGGTGATGTTAATCTTTGCTCCATCGTCGAGGCGTGTCATATAGTTAGTAACGTAGCTGTAGTTTGGTTCACATTTCATTTAAACTATGAAACACCATCCATCACATAGCATTTATACCTGAATGTTAGAAAACAAAACTGAAACATTCAAAAGAACTTTCTAATTAGTCATTTTCAATAAAGTATATTTTAATTCATTAATTCAAAATAGTAATGTAAGCGTATACTCTAGTACACAATTTTGATGCACCTTGATCCCTAATGAGGATCCATGGACTGAATAGCAAGATTTTTTTAACTTCCACGTTTGCAAAATAAATGTAATCCACCAGTTCACACTAAGGCCATTCTCATACTGCCCCGCATTACGGTGTGGGGTGCAGATTTTGCCATACAAACTTCCATTCCCTCCACCTACCGTTTAGTGCCTGCTACACCAACTGTATCCCCTGAACCACAGGCGCGTTTTCCTATAGTACCTCCCTTCATGACTATTCCTTTATCACGGTTACCCAGCACAGACCGCGATAGTCCTGGCACACAGCGGCAGTGGTCCCCTTAAGTTCCATGCGGCGTTGTATAATAATTGTTTAGTGCTTAATAATCTGATTAATTCAGTGTACATTAAGTAATATTTTTCTAATATTTAACTCAAATCAGAAATCAATATATCTTTATTCAAATTGGATGCATAGTACAACACTTTTGAATCGTCCAAACATTTTTTTCCCCTACCACTCGTTATTGGACATATTTTTTAGCTGCAGAGAAAAACGAGCGAAAAAAACTCCACAACATTAAAAGCATAATGTAACAACATTTACAAATCCTTATGTTGTTACAACGTCAATACAATCATGATTTATTTAATATAGGAAACCTGTTGGAATGATTTGAACAGTTCAAACACAAGCATTTTTGTCTGTAATTGACGACCTCCGTGGCCGAGTGGTTTGTACGCCGGGTTTCATGGTGTCGCCGACTCGAGAGGTCCCGGGTTCGAATCCCGGTCCCATCTGCCCCCGCAGATGTTTGTGTGATGAATACGAGCATTTGAACTCTAGTCATGGATGTTGAATATGTATTTCTATATAAATATACTTATATATGTACAGAATATGTATTCTATCCGTTACCCTAGCATCCCATAACACAAGCCTTACAGTGCTCACTTTGGGGCTAGGCTAATTGGTGTGAGTGTTGGAAATATTTATTTATTATATTTATTTAATATAATCAGACACTTTGTAATAAGCTTTTTTAATCTCTTTGAATTTATTTATGCTTAACGCTTGGATATTGCTTGGGAACTATACCCCTATTTTGAAAGTCAGCTAAAATTTATAGTTTTGGTGGTTCGGCTTGCGGCTATCTGTATATTGATCAAAAAAAAAGTTAATGACTTAAATAATAAGCATATCTTACCGGTGACGCCCCCGGCTCAGCATTCATTCTCTTGTCGGGAAAAGGGTCTGACTGATGCAACTTCATCCTTTACCCTCTTCTTACTGTCGTAATATACACCTTTAATTTATATCCTCTTTCGTTTCCTCTCTTTTTCCTCTCTCCTCTGATTGTTAATGAATCGTCCTCTCCTCTTTCTCTCTTTTACATTTTTTTATACGACCTCCCTGGCTGCATCTCGGCGCGGCCTTGGATTCCCATGTGCTCATTCCACTTTCAGTTACACCAATCATTTATGTATTACATACTAATTTATATTTTTGTGAGCAAACGAATAATAATAAAAAAAAACTTCTGTTTCTTTGCATTTAGGCGCGTGATCTGCAACACTGCGCTTAAGTTCGATTTGAGTGTGTTGCAGTACTTGTTTCAAATTTCAATACGAACAGGCAAGCAACGTAAGAACAGACATTCTCGTGCTACGCAGCGTAGTGCGTGGCAGCGTGAGAATCGCCATATATTTTGAAAATGACGGTATCAAAGCAACTTTTAGATGGGAAAATTTTGGAGTAAATGACTGAATCTCGACACATATAAAAGTCAGCTTATTTTGAGAAGTCTACTGACCAGCTAGCTGCGTTAGAAGTTGTTACTTAAGTTATCCGCACTTTCTTCTCTATAGGACGGCCTTGGGCCCAAAAAGGGAACAATAATGACCCTACATCTGATGGTGACGAGA